TAGCACAGTCAATGATTGGCATGGTAAGATCCAACTCAAGGACGTGATACCTCAAGTGGTGCTCTTGTTGCTACTAAAGACTATCTTCATTCATTGGAGAATAATCTGTTAGGATTGGTACACCTTCTACAGCAAAGGACTACCAATGACACACAGAGAGAAGGTAGCATGTTATGTAGAAAGTTTGAACTGATTCCGACTTGAATTTTTCAAGTTATGGCCATTTTAAGAAAACAGCAAAATTCTGAAAAATACCCAAGGCTATTTCACTTTTAAGATCTGCTATCGTTTGCTTCATAGGTGCTCGTTCATCTTATCATAGACCGATTCATTCGTTTTCCAACATTGATCTTGCCCTTTCTGAGGGTCAAGTCTTACAATAAATATTTTTTAAGTTCTATTACATAATAAACAGTTATGCCACACACACACATATATTCACAAGTATATAAAATTATTTAATTTCAGTAATTTATTTATTTAATGGTATATTTATAGTTCATAAAAAATAGCCCATGGTTTTTCCCAAAAAATGGCTTCGAAATCATCCCCAATTTTTATTACATTTTCTGATACATATTGATGTCCTTATGCTGTGTAGAAAGTTTGAAGTGATTCCGTCTTCAATTTTCCAAGTTACCGCCATTTTTAAAAAATGCCAAAATTTTGAAAAATATCCAAGGCTATAGCCCATGGATTTTTTGAAAAAAATGGCTCCGAAATCACCCCCAATTTTCATCACATTTTCTGATACATATTGATGTCCTTATGTTGTGTAGAAAGTTTGAGCTGATTCCGGCATATAATTTTTGAGTTATGGCCATTTTAAGAAAACATCAAAATTTTGAAAAATACCCAAGGCTATAGCCCATGGTTTTTTCCGAAAAATGGCTTCGAAATCACCCCAAATTTTTATTACATTTTCTGATACATATTGATGTCCTTATGCTATGTAGAAAGTTTGAGGTGATTCCGACTTTAAATTTTCAAGTTATGGCCATTTTAAGAAAACGCCAAATTTCTAAAAAGTACCCAGGGCTATAGCCCATGGTTTTTCCCAAAAAATGGCTCCAAAATCATCCCCAATTTTTATTACATTTTCTGATACATATTGATGTCCTTATGCTGTGTAGAAAGTTTGAGGTGATTCCGACTTAAATTTTTAAAGTTGCAGCCATTTTAAGAAAATGCACGTGTTAAGTATTAATTAGCTTGTTGGTTTCTATTTTAATAAATACAATTAGAGATATTACAGGGTTAGAATGCTTATCAATGATGATATGTTTCTTGTTAGTAGATACAATGTCTCACTGGTTCCGTCACATTGCAGAGGGAGAGCC